TATTAAGATATGACTAATGCTCAATTCAGCTGAAATGCCAGAATGCTACAAAATTAGCTGTATACTCAACATGATAATTCTAGGCGCCACGACACCAGACAGACCCACACGGGGTTGATGAATTCAAAATTCGAAGTAGAGAACTCATTCGAGAATCTTCTTCCGCTTCCTCATTTTTTCTTTCGGATGCATGATCGACGATGAAAATGACAATGACACGGGGTGGAAATTCAAGTACTAGTACCGGTACGTGTAGTGGTATCACAGCAAGCGCGTCCCTGAGCGAATCGCAATGTTCCATTTGAACTTGGGTTTGACATTCGTGGAGAGGACAACTTTAATTCTTGGTACTGGATTGTCTTGCGGCGGGATCGGCGACAATGGCGGTGGTGTGGAACGCAAGATGGCGGCGAGAATCGAATCAACGCGTAGGATCTGTCATTTTCCGTACCGGCTCTACTGTACTATTCTCAATAGTCAATCAAAGAGACGACCAAGATGATCCTGAACTCTATCCAGCAGCGGCCATCAGTCGTAGTCAAGCCATTCAATTCTCCAATGTGTGTCCACCGGAAAACAGTATTCGAGGAATGATGAATCGCCTTGTCGTTCACCAATAACAACAATAGTAATAATATTGCTACTTCAAATACTGGAATGGCAGCTGTGGTGCAGGCAGCTAGGGCCAACATTGCCACCATCATCCAAACACGACCAGTTTTGTCAGCTTTGTATCTCAGATTCGAATCATATTTCATGACTAGTCTACGTGGGGGGCAGATGCAGCCATGGAATCACTTGGGGTACTGTACCGGTTGAACAACAATTCCAATCCGACGGACTCGCAAGAGCGGATATCTGGGTATTGGCATCCTATGTGGCGGTAGACATGGCCATGCCTGGAGGACAGGCTATCAACAGACCATTCATTCGTGCCATTTACACACTACGGAAGGAGAAACTGCCCCACTACCAGTAACGATCCCAGACGAGGACCGGATCCAGAACTACAGTATGCTTTTTCCAAGAGCACCTTGCTTTTACGCCTAGTCTAGTCACTGTACTGTAACTCATACATGTACCGGTACCGTACTCAACACTCAACCTTGGAGCCGCCGTTGCCAAGACCATTAGTGATATTTCACAGCCACCCGGTGAAAGGAAATACAGTGTTGCCAACCCCTCTATGTAATTAGTGTGTGATGAGGCAAGCTGTATGAATTGAGCTAGTAGTATAGCTGGGTGATCTGATCGCTATGAACAGCAACAAGAGGATTTTTGTGTGGATTGACTAAAACCACCAGTGGTTTCTCCTCTCACACAAAATGAATACAATCTTATTGGATGGCGCTCTGCTCTGCTCCTCTATTACGATGACGCTGAGCAACAGCACTGTTGCTCAGTGCAACCAACAGCAAGTAGACAGGTTATTATGCAACATGATGGTTCGTAGCAGAAGTCAAGTGATTCAGCCATGATGCTCTGACCAAGATACATGACATTGTATTTCTACTGTCAGCCACTCTCTCTCACAAGCGGCATCGCAATGGAGACAAGAGAGTCAATAATGCTAACTTACAGGGCTCCAAACTAAAGTTTACGAATAAGTCAGATGGCATACGTACAGTACCTGATTGCTCACTATACTGAATGATTCATTGATCATCCCGTACCACTCACCAGGTGGTACCGGTTACCGGTGGATTGAAGTGGAAGATTGGCATCCACGAACTTCCGTTGCCATGATCAGAACCAAGGCTCTACGACTACTAGTAAACTGGTAAAAAGCTTGGCCCATAGTTCGGATGACGCACACACATGTAGACTATCCTGCCAACCGAACCATTGCTTGGCTGGTCACTCCGTTTCTTTTGCCAACAGCCCTGAGTAGTTAATAATTAATTAAAATTGATTTTGAGGGGGGTTGGAGCAACTGGCATCCCATGTCAACCAAGGTAAACCATGTCCAAGACCGACAAAGACAGTGGACACTGTCTTTAAGACAGTTGCACCTTGCAGTCACCATCGGCTTCCATACTGGTGTATTGGAAGTTAAAGATGCCATTCACCAATCTTCCGTACAATAATCAGAACCAAGATACTACAGTTTGTTGTATAGTAAAACCAGAAGTGAGATGCCTTCTTTTCTTCTTTTTCCACGATAGGGACGTAAGCGAGGCCTCAAAGGAAGTAGAAGCTTGGCCCTTGTCCTGCTGACGTACAAAAAACCATCAACCTCAAGGTCGGGAAGTTGTCATGCCAACACGAACAATGGAGCTCGTGCTTGCCGGTTCCGTGACTCCGTGTTATTTATTTGCCAAAACACAAGATAAACATGTTCTGGCACCGTACCGGTTACAGGTGCGGGTACTTGTATGCCAGACCGCACCAACCACTAGCCACCGCTTCGCTTAGAAGCGGCTCGCGCGTGGGGTAGCTGGCTGCATCCAGTTCGATAGCTAGCTAGTCAGCAGACAGAATGCATTGGACGCAGTCATACCGGTACTAGTAGCTATTGTAGTTTGGTCACCACACGCAGTGAAGTTATTTTTGTTTCGTGTTAGACTTACTTGTACAACATTACACCTGAACTTTTAACTTTTATTACAGCTGCAATAGTTAGTTAGTTAGTTAATTATTTGTGCTCTGTTGTGTCTTGTGTGCTTTTGACAACCGCGTGAGTAGAGGTGCAGTGGCTTGATGGTTGTCTTTTGCGATGGTGATTGATAGGAGAGGAAAGGGGTAATAGTTGATGAAAGTCCAGTGATGAAAGAGAGAAGAGAAGGGGGGAGTGTTGACGTGAACAATGAATGAATGAATGAAAGCATGCAGACCTCCTTGAAGGGAAAATCGCCGTATTTGTACGTTGGGTGGCTAGTCTAAGGTAGGTCTGGTGCACGAAGGAAGAAAGTGGCAGGCCTTGGCTCTACCCTTCCTATAGAGTGGGTGTATCTTGAGAATGCGTGCATCTTGTGTCTTGAAGAATGCATCTTGAATGTAATGGGATGACTGATTTAGCTATTGGCCAATTCAAAGAGAATGTGTGCAAAATCATCATCGTCTCCTCCTCCTTGTGTTTCCTCCGCTCCTTCCTTGTAGGAGGAGGCAGCAGGAGCCACCATGGTTTGCTCTGTGGTCTCAGCGAGGAAAGCAGCACGTGCCGCCGCCACTGGATCATTGGCTTGGATAGGTTGACCACCAGAGGTGCCCTCGAGAGTGTTTTGGGAGACACACCTTGGCACCGGCTGTTGTGCCGCTGGTGCATTATTTGCTTGAGGGGCAAGCTGCAGCTGAGTGGCAGCAGCGGGAAGTGGCTTGGGGCTACCGGTACTGCAGACGGAAGAGACCCGTCTGGTAGTAGCGGGAGGTGCTCGCAACGGATTGTGAATCATGGGAAAGGGGACACACTGTGCAGCAGGGGCGGCTGGAGAAGTCACGGGGGACGGAGGATGACTAATAACAGCCGCCTGAGCCGCAGTAACAGCCGATGTGTATGGCTGGTACATTGCCAGCGTGGTGGCGGCACCTTGGGGGTGGACCATCCGAGATGTGTTACTTGGAGGAGCAGGCGGAGGAGGAGCAGTAGTATTGTACATGTAGGAGATGGCCTTGTATGGAACGACGACATCTTGAGGAGGCGCCACCGCCTGCGCCGTTTCGACGTTCCTTG